CTATGGTTAGAGCATTCTTCTGAGAGGTAGAAGATACCTGCTGAAATCCTTTCTCCCCCTGTAGCAGAGAAGGGGAATTTGACATGTGTCTTCCACAACCCAGGTGAGTGCTCTAATCATTGGCTAAAAGTTTATAAAAAAGTAGTGCCATCCCCACCTCCTTCAGTGGCTGCTTTTGGGTGGTAAGGAGCAGCTACCTAACTTATTCCCACAAGAAATGCCTTAAGTACTTAAACTAAATGACTCCAGGTAGTGGATGCCCATTTGTGGATTGCTGAGTAAAACTAGGCATCTTCCTACCACCTGGATTTAGGTGCCTAGCTCCCAGAGAGAGTTGACTCACCTCTCTGGTAAGAATTTCCTGTTGGCTAGCTGAGGCAAGTCATATTCTGTTTCTTTAGACAGTTGTTTTGGAACTGACTTTTCACTCTAAAGATGGGCAGGATTTAACCCTAAGAGTAAGATTCTTACAGCTTTGCACTAAATAGCACTCTGCTCATGGAGTAAGTGTTATTCAACATAAGTAAGGGTATCCGAATCTGACTCTGTGGAAATAGAAACATGCAACTTGGATTTTTTTTTTAAATAGCAAAATTATCAGTGGATTCAGTGATATAATCAGCATGATTATATCTGTGTGTCACAATTTCTTAACACTAAGTAGAAGTGAAGAAAATCTCAGAAAAAATAATAGTATTGGGCAGTTCAATCATGATTAAGCATGTGGGACGCGTAAGTCTTAACACTGTAAAGCATTTGATACATGTTAAAAACCTGCCGAAAGGACCAAATGTCAGGGATAATTCAGTCACTAAGTCAACTATAGTGAGAAAAAAGGATCATATCAAAACCAATTTAGAGAGGATTAGCAAACATGGCTTAGTGAACTGTGTACCATTTATAGACTGGGTTTGAAATCCATTTTTAATTAGGTTTTGGGAAATAGAAAAGATTGTGAGAAAAAAGCCAGAACCATTAACCCTAGAGTAATATAAAGCACTTGAGAGCATAATTCTTATCACAAGGTCAAGCTTTTGCACAGCAATTATTTGAGATATCCATACCTTCAACATACAGATATACACATACAAAGCTTTTTAACCCGAGGGACTCTGAACACATTTCTCTTTGCTATTGATTTTATTTTACTCAAGGGCTGCATCTAGACTGGCATGATTTTGCACAAATACTTTTAACGGAAAAGTTTTTCCGTTAAAAGTATTTGCGCAAGAGAGTGTCTACACTGGCATGGATGCTTATGCACAAAAGCATATATTTTGCGCAAAAGCATCCATGCCAGTGTAGACGCTCTCTTGTGCAAGAAGCTCCGATGGCCATTTTAGCCATTGGGCTTTCTTGCGCAAGAAATTAACATTGCTGTCTACACTGGCCCTCTTGCGCAAGAATACTTGCGCAAGAGGGCTTATCCCTGAACAGGGGCATCAGAGTATTTGCGCAAGAAGCACTGATTTTGTGCAGTACAAGGTCAGTGTTCTTGTGCAAATACTCGCGGCCAGTGTAGACAGGCCAGTCTAGATGCAGCCCTTAAGATGTTTTTTCTTAATCCAGACAACTTATAGAAACTTTTATTATGGGTTGGATTCAAATGGGAGTGCTACTGGAGTAAGGCTCTCCAGATCTAGTTAATTAATGTTATTTCCTAATTTCTTATCCCCCAGAAGAAATCAATTAACAAATTGTTTATTTAAAGGCAACTTGTAGATTTTAAAAATCCATGAATGTCATAGTACTCTGCTGAATTTCCAAAAATACAATGTTAAGAAGGTCTTGACTCTTCACTATAAATATGTTTCCCCTACTTTAAGACCTGCTACAACCAAACTATGTTTATATTTTGCATTGCACATTTTAAATAGCATGTCATGTTCTTTAGGTGCAGCCATCAACTTTATATGTGAAGTTGCATATATATTAGAAGACCATGAAAATATCTCTGTCTTTGACTCAGGTCCTAGGACATAATTATGCTATATAACACTTGCTAATTTTCTTTCCTTTGGGAGTAAACACAAAACACAGTGGGCCAGATCCTGGCATACAGATGTATTGCCTAGTGCACAACTCAGAGGTAATAACCAAATTCTGAGAGCCAGCTTTTCCTGTAATGTGGTGGTAGGGGTGCCAAGGACTACTTGCAGAGTAAGGTACTACTTATTGTGAATCAGTGTGGCAGAACTGCGTCCTTAATGATGTAATGTGAGGAGAATCAGTCTCTGCACATCTAAAATAAAGGTAAATGTAAGCTAATGAAATCTTGAATGTTCCTGTTATGCTCTTTATTTAGGATCATTTAGCTCTACATTTTATAGCTCAGAGGTTCAGATACAATTTTAGGTGCAAATTTACTATTTTTAGATTCTATTTTAGGTGCAAATTTTAGGCCAAATAATTTGCAGGTGCAAAATTGTGCTTAATCCATCTTCAGATTAAATGTTCTAAATCAAATCAGATTTACAACTGTTAACTATGATTACCTGAGCTACAGAGGCTTGAGGGTTGCCTATTAAGTTTTTCAATGTGCGTTTAGAAACCCACTTGAGCTGATGGAAGAAAGAAGTGGCATATGTAATTCGTCTGAAAATTGTCTTCACTTTCTTTTTATTCTCCAAAGAAATTTTCTCTAATACTTCTTCTGTTTCTCTGTAGTAGGTGGATCTGCAATAGTGTTCTGCTAACTTCTCTGCCAAAGTCTTATCACGGTTGATGTGTTCTTCAATGTTATCTTCAGGTTAAAGAGAAAAAAATACTTTATTACCTTTTATTGAATTTACAGAAAAAAAAGTAATTCTCCAGCAATTAAGCCCATAAAGTTACACTGAAGATTTTGTTGCTAATCAATGAGATAGCAATTACAGTGGCTTATTTAGTTAAATTAATCCATTCCATTCAGTCTAGAACAGTGGTTCTCCATTTTTTTGGTCCACAGTTCATCTTACTCAATGCAGACCTTTCCAGGGACCTTCAGAAAACCACCCATGTTCACAAAATGGGTGCAAGAAGGCTGGGGATATGGGGTTTAGCCAGGAGGTAAGGTGTAGGAGAGGGCTAGGGATGGGGGATCGGGCTGGAAGGAGGTTGTGTGCAGTAGTGGGAGGTTTGAGTGGGAGATAGGGCATTGGAGTGGACTAAAGATCAGGGTATGAGAAGAAGGGACAGGGTGGAGGAGTGGGGTGGAGATGTGGGGTCTCAGTGAGAGGGGTCCATGAGGGGGATGAAGTTGTGGGGCCTCGGTATGCCACTCCCAGGCACTGCCCCCCACTTTAATTGGCCATGATTCCTGCCAATAGGAGTAGCTGGGAATGACTCCAGGTAAGTGGTTTCCTGCAGTACTGTCTCCCAGGAGGGAGGAGGAACAGCAGCAGGTGGAGTCACTTCCTTCCCCCAAAACTGGATCTGGCCCTCCAGGCTTCCCCATTCCACAGTGGGAAGCTAGAGTTGTCACTCCAACATCACAGGGGAGTGGGGCGAGGCATGGGGATAAAGTGCTAGTGCAGACTTTCCGCTGAAGGGGGTGCCCTGAGCCCACAGCCCACCTGAAAGATTGTCAGGGACCACTAGTAAGAACAGTTGTATTTGCCTAATCACCCAAATCAGCTGATCTATGTCATTTTGAAAAGTATTGCGTTAATTTTGGTTCCTCAAATCTGTCAAGTGTTAAAGACTCAATATGTAAATAAATCTTTTAAACAATTCATGGTTAGACTGGTGAAACATAAGAGTTGCATGGAGGGCAGATTTCTCTAGACCTTAGATGCTAAATTTAGCCCTTAAAGGTTTATATTTTACTTATATTGTGCAGCAGAAATTATACCTTAATAATGGTTTGTTTAAACCACTGTTAAATCAATTATAAAACTGAATTCAATATTGGCTAGGTATAGTATAGTTCGGAAATGTCATTAATGTGCCAGCACTGAGATTTATAGGCATTAAAAACACACCCAAGCCTTTATTATCCCTTCATTTCTATTTATTTTCATGTTTGATTCAATTCTGGATTATTTACAGTATATGCCTTTGGTGTGGGAGGACTTGAGTTTCTCATCTGGGGCTTGATCCTGCGCTCATTTGAAGTCACTGATAAAGCTTTTAATGAGAGACGTCTGGGGGGGTACATCAACACATCAACACAACTGAAATTTGGAGAAAACTTAATTTTTGTTTTAAGTTTTACAGCACTTTATTATTTTTGCACTTTTTAACACCCAAAAATTTCATTGCCTACCCTGCTATGATTAAATTGTTTAAACAAATGTGTTGCAATGGTAGGAAAAAATGTTGTGTGTCTGAAAACTATAGGCACTGGGGGTACTTATAATTTTTTTAAAAGGGGGTACTTATATATAGGGCTTGACAAACCGTGGCAAAATCTACTTGCCAGCCCCACACTGCGCATGGACAAGACCCACATTGCACATGCGCGCACCACCGGTGAACGGGACGACTGGCTGAAATCTACTTGCCACAGGCGAGTATATTCACTGATTTGTCGAGTCCTGCTTATATATATTTTTTTAAAAGGGTACTTTATAAAAAAAAAAGGTTGAGAAACACTGGCATAGATAAAAGTGGGACAGTGCCCCCTACTGTGAATATAGTTATAGCGGTATAAAAGGTGCTAATGCCTATGTAGAGATTATTCCTATATGTTAAGATGAACAAAAGATGGACAAACTACACTAGTATAAATCACTTTTATACTAGTGTAACTGCATCCAAACTAGGGATTGCACTAATATAGCTTTTTCATTTTTAAATATCACATCCTAACAGTTATAGGTGTACATAGACTGTGTGTAGAGCAGACATCTCTCTTTATAATTTTGTTGAGATTAAAAAAAAAATCAATCCCTATGTGGGGTTGTAGTAGAACAGTCCATATCAGTGTTAATGTCATTATGATAATCATGTATGGTTTAGTTCCTGAATAAATTGATATTAATGATAAATTATCTCAGCTGAATTTATGAGCAACAAACTAACATTGCCTAGATGGAAAAATAAAATCAATCTGATAACATGACAAATATTTTATGCATTAAGTATACATGCAATGCTAATATTATGATTTACAGCACATAGTTAGAAAGCATCTTAGTATTTTGGTACTACTGTATCACAATTTGGCACTGAATGTGGTGTTCATGCAAGACAATGGGAGTTTTGCTATTTATTTCATTGGCAGAGCAGTCTTTACTGTTGGGGGGGAAAGAGACGCATGTAATTATTGCCTTTCATGGAACAGCAATGGATATTAAATGTTACACACAAAAGTTATTTCATGCTGTACATAATCATGAGATGGCTTCATAAAGGGAGATTTTGTGGTGAAGAAATATTATAGAAGATATTGTCCCTCTCGTGTGTATAATGTGGGTGTCTAAGTAACTCTTGAATTTATGTATGGAAGAAACTATTACTGTTAACTTAATGCACTTGAAAGTGATTTTTTTCATTCCTGAATTGATACATCCAAAACACATTTTGTCAACCTGCAAATCTAACTTTATGAAGAAATTCAGTTTCATACCTAGGTCAGCATCATCAGTCTTGCTTGATGCCACAGCAGTTGAGTCTCCATTAATGACATCCAGAAAAAAATCAGCAGGGTTGTTATATGGCTCACACTCATAACCTGCAAAGAAACACTCTACAATCATTCTAAAGATGGTAAGATGTGTTGTAAAACACTTGAAGTGATATACCCTGGGCAAGACTATGATACCGTTACTTATGCTGAGTGGGAATCTGCACCACTATGTGGTCCAAATGGCATGAACTACTACTCAGCATGAGTAAGGATATTGCAAAGTAGCCTTATCAAAGCTGCCATAAAAAGAAAAGCAGTGAGAATTCAAAATAGCCAGAGTGATAATTAACAAATGAATCCTAGAATCCTAGAATCATAGAGATGGAAGAGGCCTCAGCAGGTCATCAAGTCCAGCCCCCAGACCCAACTAAATCAAAGCAACCAGGGCTTTGTCAAGCTGAGACTTAAAAACCTCTAGGGATAGAGATTCTACCACTTCCCTAGGAAACCCATTCCAGTGCTTCACCACCCTCCTAGTGAAATAGTTTTTCCTAATATCCAATCTAGACCTTTCCCACTGTAACTTGAGACCATTGCTCCTCGTTCTGCCATCCTGCCATCCGTCACTACTATGAACTTTCTCCATCCTCTTTGGAACCTCCCTTCAGGAAGTTGAAGGCTGCTATCAAATCCCCCCTCACTCTTCTCTTCTGAAGACTAAACAAACCCAAATCCCTCAGTCTCTCCTCATAGGTCATGCGCTCCAGACTCCTAATCATTTTGGTCACCCTCCACTAGACCCTCTTCAATGTATCCACATCCTTTCTATAGTAGGGGCCCCAGAACTGGACACAATACTCCAGATGTGGCCTCACCAGAGCCAAATAAAGGAGAATAATCACTTCTCTTGATCTGCTGGCAATGCTCCTCCTAATTCTAACTGCATGTCTCTTATTGCTTGCATTTTGACCTTTAAGTTGGTACTAATAGTCTTGAGAAGTCATTTTTCTGCTTCTTGTGGCAGTTTTAAATATTTGAATTTACCAAACTCACCTATTTATAGGTAAAGTGACTAAACACCAGGCGAAACACTTCAAAATTCAGAACCCAAGACTTCCCAATGTATTTTGTTTCCAACTTTAGGTAAATACAATTGGCATTTTGTTTTCAGTTGGTTTGGTAGTTGAGCATTATGAGTCTTATTCTACAACCAATACTTAGGAAAAAACAATATTGGCATCACTGGGAATTTTGCCCATGTAAACATTGTGAGATAGGGCTATGTTGTTAGAATGCTTTAGCTCCAGGTTAGCAAACCATTAAACATGTGAAGTTCATGAGTAAATCCATTCCCATTCAACAGAACTTGAACATATGCTTAAAGTTAGTCATGTGCTTAAGTATTTTACTGAATCAGGGTCTCTGTGTACAATTCTTATATCAGTTCAGAACTAACATGCATTACTCTTTACTTTTAAATAATCACTAATAAGCACAAAGGGTGACAGTTAAGGGTCAGCCTTCACCCTCAGTTCTGCATTTCTCGACTTCTGAGTGCTTGGTTTTTCAATTTTAACTTTGCATTCATATTATTGTCATATTAAAAAAGCTATTATTTAGTATGTTTTGTATGGGAAACAATGAGACACATTAATCATTGAATCCTGTGAGTCAAGAGTCATTTTTACTAAGTCACTTTTTAAAGCAAAGCTATATTTTAAGCATGCTTCAGTCAGTGTCTACGGCTGTGACTACAGCCCCAGAAGAAAGCTCACCAATAGATTTGAAGTATTCGATGGCATTCTGAGCAGGGCCATGGTACAGCATTCGTCCTGCAGCCAATAATGTCAGGTTGTCAAACAATCTGAATATGGAGTAGCGGGGCTGATGAATGGAAAATATTATTGTTTTCCCGTGCCTTGACATCCTGAATGTAAGTGGAAAATAACAGAAGTATCAACTATTTGAGCTCTTTGTGGATTTTTCTTCTTTCAAATTCCTTCAAATACAAATCAATAAAAAAACACAATTCAATCTGTTGGAGAATCCAATGCATGGTACAAAAAGAATCAAACAAGCCCAGCAATACAGTAACTGCACATTAACCATTTTAACCACATTTTAATTACAGATGTATGGTGTACATCTTTGTCAAAACTGGTTCTTTCCCAGGGATTCCATTGCAGTCACCTTTTCAGGAGCAGTAAGACAGCATTGGCAGTGCTGGCATCCAATCCAGTAGTTGGTTCATCTAAGAACAAGACTGCAGGGTCAGTAATGAGTTCCATTCCAATATTGGTCCTTTTTCTCTCTCCCCCAGAAACTCCACGAATGAACGGGGTGCCAACCTAGTGCAAAACAGATAGTTTGTGTCATTTTGTCTGACATGAAAGTATTCACGCAAAGAACATCCAACACATGTAACAGCATATTAACATCTGGGAGAAATTAGTGATTACATTATCACCATGGATTAAGGGGTTCACATTCTAAAACTGAATAGTGTACATTGAAAAGTTGCAACAAAAAGGTCTGCCATAAAAGTTTTCACCCTCAAATCTAAGTTTCTTCATGACAGTCTTGCTATGCAAGTTACCTGCTTTCTGCCTTCTGGTAACCACTGTCCTGTGTCTGGTAATTTATGGATAGACACAGAAGTAATAAGCCTTTTCTTCATTTTTATAGGCAGCTGGGTTAGTGTTTATTAGCCTTTCTGCTATTAGACTAATTAATAAAATTAAAAAGTTGCTAAAGTACAGCCATTTTGTCATATAAAATTATTTAATATTTGCTATTCGGTTTAATAGAAGAACGATCCTGAATCATGGGCCTGGTGCAAGTGTTGAGGTCTGAATCAAAGTGAGCAAGAATAACAGGCAGGCCCTGTCAAAAGCAGATGTTTGCTTGCAAATCAGTGTCCCAGACATGAATTTGGCACTAGTACTACTAGCACTGCTAAAAAAAAACATGGAATGTGTCAAGACATTCTACCGGAACAATATAAGGACACCCCAACCTAGCACACAATAAAATGGTTTGACAAAATTGATGAATAGTGATATTTTGTCTGAAACATATGAAAGTTCAACAACACGTGGTGAATGGGAATGTTTTGTCTGAAATATCAGGAAGAAAGCACAAGGGGAGATAACAAGCATGTCATAAAACATGTAAGATGATATATAAGGGGTGTATCAGATTGTCTGTCTCGCTCTATAAAAGTTGGGATACCTTTCTTTAACTCTTTGTCCAGCCAAGGGGGCGGTAGAAACTCCTGCTACTGACTGAGCTTAGTCCATTGCAATGGGAATACATAGTTAGTGCACCTGTAACCATTGAGCCAGGACACTAGGAATGTCTTTTATTGACAATAAACCTGGGCTGGTGCCTTCATACCTTATCTGATTCTGTGGTCTTTGGAGGTTCTCACAGAGTCTGCTGTGCTGGCTATCTGCGCAGAGCCAGTGCTACATATAGTGCAGCACACACATGCAGATGAATGGTTATCATTGGACAGATCAAAATGCCTGTCAGGACACCACCTAGTGACATCTGGCCACATTAGGAACCATACTATGACAGTTCACACATCTATTTACCTTGGAATCTGCCACTTTAGTCAACCCCAGTTCCCTGATGATCTGATCAATTCGTTCATTCTTTTCCCGTTCCTTCACAGATGTGGGTAGCCTGAGTGCTGCAGAGAACTGAAAATTTTCTCTCACTGTCAACGTTCCCATCACCACATCATCCTAAATAAACAAAATTATGTAGGTAATGTTCATTCCAGACTTCATTTTTCCTTTTCTGGGACTTGCACATGCATCCTATTTGTGGACTTTACATGCATAAAGTGCATTTATATGGCAATGACAGCTGCTAAACTCAAGTAGGACAGCTCTTCAAAACCTGAACAGCACATCAAATGTTTGCTTCAGTTATAGTCTCTGCATGTTTGTATAATTTATGACAACAAGGGACTTTTCTACATGTATCAAATTCTAGAAATATCACTTATTAACACATATTTACACCCTTCATATGCCTACCTGACCAGAGTGTTTTGCATAGCAGTTAAAGACTGGCAGCACAACAAAAATTCAAACTTGGATTTTCCTTAATACAGTTGAAAATTGTCAACAAAATGTATCTGGATTTGGTCCTTCCCAGGTGCTTGCCCCCTCCTCTAGGAAGCTGAGTACCCTCAACTCCAACTGCCTTTCATGGAGGTTAAAGGTAGGTGCTCAGCATTCTGCAGAATCAGTATCTAGAATGAGTTATTTTTTTCAATTGTGAGTAAAATCTTCCTTCAAATATCTGAGGACATGTTTTGGAAATGTGATCACTGCAGACCACAACTAAATAAAACTAAGAAGTGCAAAGAAATTATGAGGACAACTCCATGGTGTTCTGTGAAGCTGCTGATTTAAACTAAATGTTCTCTTGAGGTTACCAGAGCAGACGGTGGGCAGCCTGGTCAGGAGGAATGAGCTCAATCTGGAGAGTGAGGAGCCACTGAGTTTGAATGCACCACAGCTAGATACTGCCATATGCTGAGCACTGGCCCCAATGAAATTAGCCCACGTTTACTTCAAAAACATGAGCATGAGAATGAACACACACATGCTTAAAAATAAAGTGTGTTTAATTGTTTTGCTGGCTCACAATGCTCAGCAGCTTGTGGGATTTAGCAATTCATGTTGGCTAAACGGTCTCAGGCAAGTTCCCTGACATTCCTGTTTTAATTTGCCTCTCAGTGAAATGGATATAATAATAATTATTTATTAGTAACTATTACGTGTTACTTCCAAAATGGGAATATGTTGGGGGTAAGAAATATCAACAAAGCAAATGAAAACCAGAACTCTATGTGAGTACATTCAGTTCTATTACCTCCCTTGGAGCAGCATTTGCATAACTAAATACATGCACTGTGGAAACAGTTCCTTGATACTGGGCTTTGTTTATAGTTTACTAGGGGGCTGTGCTCCCTGCTTGCTATGCTTACCAACCCCCTTCTTGGGGAGAAGGTGGCTCCAGCTCCCGCTCCTCCCCACGCCCACTCATACCCCGGCTGGGGAGGGCCAGACCGAGGCAGCCCCAGCTTTCCAGCAGCCAGGCTGAGGCCTCAGCAACTCCAGCTTCCCTGGCCAAGGCTACAGCAGCCCCAGCTCACCCCCCAGCCACAGGAGGCTTCCAGGCTGTGAGAAGCTTGTAGGTGGCTTTCCCTGCTGGCCCGGGGGCAGGAAGGAGGAAGCCCCTCTGAGCTAGGCTGGCTGATGGGTTGGAGGCTGGGCTCAACATGGGTCGAAGCTGGCTGCAGTGTGGGTCACTTTTGGCTGGGGGAGGGTGAAGTGAACAACAGCATGCAGAGCTGGCAACCCAGATCAAGTGGGGAGGCTTGGGGCCTTCCCCCCATTTCACTCCGTAGGAGTGCTGGTGCTGGTGCTCCAATCTTGCCGGGGGCTGACTTGGCGGTGAGAGGTGTGGGGGAAGGGGCAGCAGGGAGTGAGGAAGCCACCAGCAGGGCGAGCATGGAGCTCGCTGTGTCCCGTCGCTGTGGATCATGCTGCCCACAGGGCTCCTTCCAGTTCAGCAACAGCTACCCCTGTGCCCAACCTGTTGATGCTATCAGGCAGTCCTGGTCTTTATAAAGGAGTGAGTCAGGGAGCTTGCGAACAGGGACTGCTAACAGGGAGTTTGGAGAGGGAGTTCTCCAGGTGGAGAAGGAGCTAATATAGGACCCTTGAGGGAAGTGGCTGTCCGTTGTGTGTGTGTGTGTGTGTGTGTGTGTGTGTGTGTGTGTGTGTGTGTGTGTGTGTTTGGAGGTTTCTTACTGTGTGCTGAGCTTGTGTTTGTCTGTCTGGGGTTGGTGGGGTTTTTTTTTTCTCCTCTTCCCCTCCGCCCCATGGAGTGAGTGCTGTGGCTGGCAGGTGGAAGCTGTGAGCTTCTAATCAGGGTTTGAAATCTAGAAGCATCTGCTCACTGATTGAGCCTTAATCAAGGGGAAGGGCTATCAGACAGTCCAGGACTTTATAAAGGAGTGAGTCAGTGACCAGGGAGCTTGGAGAGGGAGTTGGGAAGGGTATAAGA